AAAGGTAAATAATCTATTTGAATCAGTCGTGTTGAAGCAGGGACAAATCTAAAACTTGCAGGACACCAGCCCTTGAGGACCAGAGTTGGACATGCCTGACTTAGGTAGTTTACAAAATTGCAGAGTAATAAAATAAAACAAAAACTCTTGGTGGACTGAAGATTGGCATAATGTCCTGAGATGTTGTCAGCTGATAGAGGGAGTCATAAAACAGAACAGGTTGACATTAAGATGCCCTGATGTCCCTCTAGATAAATGTGTTAAATGAGTTAAGGAAAGTATGAGGACTAAGCAACAACCCTAAGTTCTCCCCTCAGAACAAGACCAAAAATTGTATTCACATCCCTGGTTATTAAACATTAACAAACAATGAGTATGTTGATTTTGGAAGTAATTAGCCTTTATGGGTAAAGTATTAATACATATGTTAATGTATACCTTATTAAGTATGAGTCATCCTTAAATAATGTTTTCAAGGTTAAGTAAACATTTAATAATGATTAAGCAATGCTAAATAAAGTGTTACCGAAATATGTAAATTGGCAGGGTAAGATGAGTATTTTTGTTCTCTTTCAGTTCATGATAAATTCAGCTTGGCAAGCGGAGTCTGCTTAGACCTGAAGGACTCCTCTGGAGTCGATGTGGATGCTGATATATTTGATGAACTCTTGAGGTCTTCAAAAGTGTCTTTCAAAGTATTCACCGAGCACCTTGGTAAGACATTAAAGCAAAAGTGTCTTTTAAGTTGTTTATTGACAACTGTTGTGGAGAACAAATTCAGTTGGATTTTATATATATGGCACTTAAGAGGAAATTATAGTTTACCAAAGTGCACAAATATAAGCAGTAAAATAATTTGTTGAATTGTACTGACATTTATGTGTGTTGAAAACTAATCAAGCTTCTAAATTTTATATAGTGGCTCCCATTGATGACAGTGACTTCACAGACACTTCCTTCTATTCCGATGATGGGTCATTGACGTCAATCGAGTCTCCAGCCTCGGCAAGCTCATCCTCTACAATAATTACAGAGAGCACCAAAGCACAGAGAAGACGACTGGTGGAAGGACCACCTGACAGTAAGATGGCAAAAGATGTAAGTTCTGTCAAGGGTTGTACATGGAATGTAGATCCATTTTCAAAATTCATTAGATG